GAGCGGCCGCCCCCTCCCGGCGTCTCTCTCCTCCCATTGGGCGGGGCCTACGCTGGACCGCCTTCAAGTCGAGCGTACCCAATCGTTCCGCCATGCTTATTGGCTGGCCGTCGAGCGGAGCGGAGGCCGCCGCAGCCCCGCGCCCTCCCCGCGCTCGTACCGATAGAATTGTTCCTTGTGTCGCCGGCCGGCCTCGGTGCCATGGTGCGTGGTACCCTCACATTTCCTCGAACCCCACGAACATTTGCAGTTACGCCGCGCCATCGAAGCGTTTGTTCGTTCAAACTATCCGGTTTTGCGGTGTTTTTGATTATTTCAGACGGGCTTGAAAGGCCTTGAGGTCCTTCCCCGGCCGCGGCCGAGCTAGACGTCGTCGTTTGACTTTGTTCGACAACGCGTGCTTTCTTCTCACAGAGTGGTCGGCGCCTCGGAGCAAAGCCCTGTCAAGCGACTCAAAGAAGGAGGAGGAGGAGGAAGAGAAGGAAGAGGAGGATGGGAGGAGAAGAGGGGAGAGAAGGGGGAAGGGGTCGGGCCACCACACGTGTCCCCAGCCCAGCATTACCCATCTCATGAGCTGCTCACTGCCACAGAGGGGCAGAGCCCTGCGCGGATACAACTGGGGCGCCTGGCCTGGGGGCCCCTGATGGGAACACAGTGAAAAAAATATACAACAAAAACACGTACGCGTTTTTTCCTAGAGTACTCACGCCCGCGGTCAAATGAATCGGAAAGGGAATGTAGTGTTCCTTAAAAAAGGGAAAAGAGAAAGAAGAGGTGAATGTGTTTAGTTTTAAAAGTTTTAAAAAGAGATTACTTGTGGAGCAAGGATAAGGAATGAGCGAGAATGAGTTATTGAGTCTGGCATAGGCGGAAATCTACATAACGTTGATACCCACTTTTTTTTAAAAAAAAGTTTATTTGATTTTATTGATAATTGTGTAATGTTCGATGATAGTTTTGCAGTATTCCGGAAGCTTGAAGGGCGGCCGCACCACAACTCGCTGACGCTATATGCAAGTCCACTTCAAATGTAAACGAATAACAATTTAAACAGGAACGTTTCTGTGCACATCTAGACTATATGCAATTTTGTTCCTCGACTGCACAAATTGTGTCAAGTTTTACACAATTTGTCTATTTTTAGTGGAGACCTGCAAAGAGCGTGCTAATCACCCTTCTTCGACAAGTGAGAGTGCGATGGAGGTAGGCATTTACCTCGCGTTGCAGGTCTCTAAGTTATAGGAACAAAACTGAATGCGTTCAGGATGCGCACAAAAACGTCCCAGTTTAAGAAACAAAATTGTTCCTTTACATTTTGGAGTGCATGCAGTACATGCATGTACAATTTAACACAGCTTTGAACAAAATTGAGCATTTGCAATTTTGTATGTATTATTCTTTTGGGCTTTTGACTTCTTTGCTTATTACTGAATGCCTATGCCCTTCCCATCCGCATGAGAACCGTGACAGGTATTGGCTGAGCTAGCCTATTTGACTATCGACCCAATTTTTGTTTACGGCTACGGCAAAAATTATAAATCTATAAAACAGAAGCGTTCCGGTTCCGCCTTTCCGTGGACAGTGCAAAGTTTCGTTGTCCCGACAACTGCGACGTTCCCTCGAATAAATGTTGGTTTTAACGATCAATACTGGTTTCTGGAGCTCAAGCAAAGTTTTCTGGATATCAACTAAAACTTTTGTTAAGGGAATACCCTACTTTTTCCATACGCGCATTCCTATCCACCACTTTATTGTTTATTCGCGATTATAGTATTTCGCTGATTGTATGTGCACAGAGTGTCGCCTCCAAGGGACCAGTTGACCAGTCCTTGCGAGATATTTAGTTAGACGAGCCCGATGATGAGAATAACGTCTTGGCTTTTCCAAAACTGTTTTGAGAAACCAAAGACATCGTTTTTATCATCCTGTCGGGTCAGCGCACCTGTTGGCACAGCCCAACAACAAGTGCGGTCAGTGTACAACTCTCCCGCAATTGGTCGACTTTTAATCAATTTCATCATAGGATTATTGATTATTGACAAATAATCGGCACCGTATCGCGCGCAATAGTTTATTGTATACGGTTTGCGGACGACGCGTGAAGTATATACACGGCGCGGGAGGGGCCTTGGCGTTGCTAGGCGACGGGGAGGCGGACCGTGTCGCGCCTCGCTGCTTGATTGGGTGCCGCGGGCCGCGCGGGGCGCTAGAGGCTAGAGGCGGTGGCGGCGGGGCGGGCCCGCGGGCCGCGCGCTCCCAGCGGATGCGGAGGGTGGGGGAGGGAGCGGGGGCGGCCGCCGGCCACGCCATATACAAAACACGCAAGAGCCAATACACGGCCGCAGGAAGGAGAGAAACGATAACCGCATGTGAGTCGTTTTTGTGATACTTAAGGTGTGGGTACTTGAACTTCAAGGCCCCCCCCCCCTCGCCCCGGTGTGTTTTTATTATCGTGAGCAGGAGGTTATTATTGCGAATTGCAAAGTATGTTGTGCAGTTTCGTTCATGAAGTGGACTCGGGCAGCAGAGCTCTGCAAAATCGCTCTACGAGACCGACCGTGCCAGACCGGCTCGATCAGCGCAGACCGCGGGACTGTGTGAGAGAGGGGGAAAGCTTGTTGGGTTGCCTACATTCGAGGCGGCAGGGACGCCAACAGGCAAGTCGCCACGCTCCGCCACGCCCGAAAACGTCCCCGGCAGCGCGGTCTGCGCTGACCGGGCCTCGGTCGGTCTCTGCAGAGCTGACCGACCGAGCCACGCGGCCTGACGCCTATGCTCACAGGCCGGGTCCGGTCAGACGCGGTCGGTCTGAAACGTCGATTTTGCAGAGCTCTGTCGGGCAGCACATATTGCCGGAAACTCGGCGACAAACACGACAAATAGCGAGCCTAATATTAAGGTCCGCATATTTTCGCCTGCTAGGGCGTGCAGCTGCAGCGGCGCAGGCGCGCGGCGGTGCTCTTGGGTGCGGAGAGGCGGCGCACAAGGAAGGGCGGCGGCGTGGCGCTCCAACGCGGCGCACCGAGGGGAGCTCATGGACTCTGGAATCCTTGTGTCGGCAGCCGTCAAAGGCGCGGCGGGGCGCATGGGCGCAAGTAGAGTCACACGTTCGCTCGGTCACCTTACGGTGCATTCCCCCGCTCCAGTTCGCCCCCCGGGATATAGTGATTCCGTCTTTCCTATTTCCGCCGAGGTCTTTGCAACGCGACCCCCGCGCGCCGCCACAAGCCGTCTGCTGCTGATGCGGTCTCGACAACGCCACACTCTCTAGCGTGCACTTCCGGGGACCACAAGTCGCCGACGCACTGGTAAAACGAATGTAAAAAGTTGCACACCAAATGTTGAATAGTTATTCCAAGTGTGCAAAGTGTGTACACTAGATGCTGGTGAAGTGAACTAGACAGACAGACAAGACAAAGACCGGAAGCAGACATTTTCATTTCGGTCAACAGAGTCAATATAGGCTATAAAGCTCAGCTAATAATTGTCACGGTTCCCATGTCGCAGAAGCAGAGAAACATCCACTGTAAAACCTATAGTACTACAAAGTCATGCGTCATGCGTACAGAGACTGAATGCATCGTGGCTTTTCGCCGTTCTGCTTCCGCCGTGCGTCCAGCTCGCTGCCGCGCTCCGCCCGGCCCCGGCTAAAGAGCCCGGCCCAGCCGCTCCGCCGCGGCTCTGCTCATCTGCTCCAGTCCAGTGCGCCCGATAGACGCGGCGTAGGCAACGCGCAGACGCGCCCGCGCACCTGGCCGCCGGCTGCCTACCTGCACGGCGCTATCCCAACCGGACCGGACCGGAGGCCCGCCCCGCTCTCCTCTCCGCGGAGGAGCTTCCAGCAGTGAGATTCGTCTGCCACCGTTTTTCTTTATCGCTCTTTCAACCTGTAGCTTTTCACAAAGCCTCTCTAATGTCCACTTCCAATTGATCTCTAACTGTACCTTCTGGCACTGACGACGTTCTCACACTGAAGCTATGGCTCTATCGCTTCAATACCGCGATATGTACGGTGTGAGTGCGAATAAGGACCAACCGCAGGGTGGCGGGCCCAGCCCGGCCCAAGGGTGCGCGCGAGCCGGGTGATTTGCGTGACATGTTGGTGGTGACTGCAGCACGTGTTGCCCCCCCCCCCTCCAACACACGCACACACACACATACACACATGTACACCAACACACACCGGGACCACGGCCGCCACGCCTCGCTAGCGCTGCTCGTAAAGGGGTCGGTCGGGCCGCCGCCGCCGCGCCCTACCGGCCGTCACTTCGCGGGGCCCAAGCTCACCGCAAAAACGCAAAACGCTCCAGCAGACTCTCTTGTGCCCCACCAATCCCCCATCGCTCTCGCTCTCTGTTTGTCTCTGTCTCTCTCTCACTGTTTCTGTTTCTGTCTGTATGTGCAGACTCCTGTCTGTCTGTTTCTCTTTCTCTCGCTCTCCTTTAGCGGAGACTCGGACGAAAAAGGGTTATTGTTTTTTCTGCACTCGTTACTCGCTGGCTTGGCAGGGAGGCAAAGCCGCTCAAAGGGTTTGCTTGGGCTGTCGGGTCGGGCGGGGTGCGGGGGTGGTGTACGGGTGTGGGTGCGCTGCACCACCGCGGAGCGAATGCAGCTCGGCGGCGGGGGCAGTGGCTGCTTGAGGCCGCCACGCCGGAAGTAAGAGGCACGCCCGCCCATGTGACCACTCCCCCCACCTCTTCTCTCTCCCCCTCCCTCTCTCTCCGCCAACAAGGTGAGCTGACCCCTCTCGCCCCTCCCTCTCCTTGTCTTTCCTTTTGATTCCTCTGGCTCTGGCCTCGCTACCGATAACGATCTTGTCGCCGCGCGGTGAGACAATCAAGAACTTATTTAGAAACTCGCCCCCCGGTTTGCTCCTGAGTAGCTTTGCAAAGCGGGGGGAGGTGGGGTGGGGTGGGGTGGGGCGAGGTAGGGCGGGGTGGGGATGCCGTCAACAGGTTAATCGAGCTATCACGCGGCAGCAGCGCCGCCTTCCGTCACCCCGGTTCCGCCCATTACCGCTCACTGGCCTGGCGCGGGCCGCCGCCGCACCTCCGCCTCCCCCACTCGCCCGTCCTGCTCCCTCCCCTCGGACACTGGGTATGGGGCGCGCGGCCGGCGCCCCGTCCGGCGCCTATCACTCCGGTGACGACATGCTCCCCTAGGCCCTGCCCTGCTGCCGAGGCTGCTGCTGCTGCTGCTGCAGTGCTGGCGCTGCCCTCCGCGCCCCGCTCGGCGCGCCCCGCTCGCTCTCAATCAAGTCATTTGTAACTCGTTATTTCTGTTGACGGCTTCGCTTCCCGCCCCGCGAGTCGGCGGGGGCCCCGCGCGGCGCGGGCCGCGGCTGCGTGCGAGGACGAGGGCGAGAGAGGGTGGGCCCTGCGCGGCAGAAGAGCCCCGCGAGAGCGCGGCGCGGCGCGGCTCGCCCCGGACGCGGCCGCCCGCCGCGACGGGACGGGACGGGACAGGGCGATTTATGGCGGGAATAAAAGTGTGCCAGTCAGGCAGAGCTGGGCGGGGCGGGGCGGCGCGGGGCCAGACAGAGGAACAGAAGGGCGAAGGGCGCGCCCGCCGAGCAGAGAGAGAGGAAGTGCCTCAGGCACTACGCCCGACCTGTCGCCAGGTGACCCTGGTGGTGACCCCACATGTCATGTACCATGGCATGCATGACATGCCTGAGGTGCTCCTCCGCGTCCGCATCCTCAGAGAGGTGCGCAGCCTTTGTCGATTAGAGGTCCCGCGCCAGGCTTGCACATTTTGCGCCTATCTCAAATAAGGCCCCTCATACTGAAATATCAACCGAAATGGGATGCATCTATTTCCGAAATCACCATATAATTCACTGTCCCCGGCACTAACATGTGGGCTAAAAAAGCTTGATTTCTCAAAATTGGGTAGTCCGCGGTTCAAAAAGTCACAATTTTGTCGAAATTATACCAATTGTTTACTTTTGCACCCAAATTAATTTCATTGATGAACCTGAGCGCGGTCTTATTTGAAGTGCCTTAATGGGGAATGATCAAGATGACCTCCACGATGCGCTATCGGGGGAGGGGTAGGTGGGCGGGTCGGGCGGCACCGCCGTGCGCTAATTAGAGGACAAGTAGTACCCCCCCGCCGGTGTTGGTGGTGGTGGTACAGTGTGATGCATGGCCGACTCCCCCTCCTACGTGTCGCCGCAGGCTCATCCTTGTTTGTTTTCGGTGTTACGCGTGTTGTTCGAAGCTGAGCCTCCTCCTGCCCCCCTCCCCCTGCCCCCCTATCCGCTCCACGCGCTCCCCATCAGGTGATGAATGCGCGGATGTGTCCCCCCCCCCCGGTCCCTCCCCCTTATCCCCATCATCCCTCTCCATCGTCCACTCCCACGCAATCCACGACTCGAGAGGAAAAAGAAATAGAGACACAAGCGAGGGATTTTTCAAATGGGCCGGGCTGGTGCGCGGGGGCGCCCTCCCGCGAGTGATGGATGCGGCGAGGGGCGCCCGATGAGGTTGGTGGGGGGGGGGGGAGGGGGCGCAAGCGTGGACAGGAGCAGGGGCTGTCGATGACGTGAGAGGCGTGTGCGTGTTGTCACAATGTTGCGTAGAGAGGCAGAGTTTTCATGATTTTCATCCATTATTGGAGCAGGCGGGGTGGGACGTGCGGGGGTGACCGTCGCAACAAGTATATATATTATGTTTCTTTGTAACTTTTACACAACATGGTATGGATGCAGAATAAATAATAAGGACACTCCTACCCCCGCTCCACTCGTGTACTATGCGCCCCCGGCGCCCCGCCCCGAGCATTTTCGCACTGCCTCGCAGCACTTCGCGGCGCTTCACTTGCCCGGCTGTATAACTCATGCCTTGCCGCCCCCGCCCCCACCGCTGCGACCCGAGGCGGGGGCAGGGGATCAACGGCGTCAAATGAGAACGCGCGCTACAGTCGCACAATAAGTACAAGGTACTGCTGACACTAGGAAGTGCCCGCCAAGTCAAAGAGGCTACAATACGGGGTGTCCTCCATCTGTTCCACCAACTGCCATACCTTGCCTCAGATATATACGTTTTATTGCCTAGAGCTAATTTTGATGAAATTCACAGCCGGAGGTGGTTTCCTCCTTGGAGGAATAACCCTCTGTGGCCCTTCTCCTCCTATAAAGTCAGAATTTTCGGAATTTTCTCTCTGTGCTTTGTGCCTCCTCTCTCCCCTACGGGAGGGCGGGGCGATGAAGGCTGCCGACATACGCAGCGCCGCTGCTGCTGGCGCCGAGGCTGTGCCTTAATTACCGATTTAACAGCAAAGTAATTTATGCGTCGCTCCCCGCGGTGTTTGTGTTCGTAATAGTCCGGCCCCGGTCGCTCCCGCTCGCTCCCGCTCGCGCTCCCTCTTCTGCTCCCGCTCCCGCTGCCGACCGTGGATCCCTTTATTATGCACTTTGAAATGAGATGGCCGGCCTCCAAGAAGAGGATTCCGTCTGAATTATGTCCTCGAGTGAGCGGCAGGAGAAGAGCAAGGGGAAAAGGAGTAGTACGTGGAGGGAGAGGAGGGTCGAGCGCAGAGGATAGGGGAGGGGAGGGAGTGGGGACCTAAGAAGCGAAAGTAGCAAAAGTAGTGTCTTTGACAGAGAGGGGGTTGAGGGGAGTTTGTAGTCCCAAATAACGAGCGACTCATAGACGGCTCATCGTCTCTGCCGGTTTAAAAAAAATATGTGTGTGTGGGGGGGAGGAAGGGACGGAGCAAGGACCAGGGAGAAGGGCGAGATAGGGCAGGAGTGGGGGAGGGGTGGGGAGACGGCGAAGGGAAGGAAGCACAGTTGAACGGCAGCGTCAAGTCCTGGCCTTCTCCTCATCCTCGCGTCGCCTCTTATTGCGCTAAAAATAAAAAGGATCGAAATTGGAGGGGGAGGGGTAGAGGTGGGGGCGACTGACTCTTCTACTCCTCCAAAGACGGGGAAGAGAGGAGGAAGGCGAGGGGCGAGCAGACGACATTAGGGAGGAATTCCCCGCTCGTTCGACATCCCCGCCGAGATGAGTGATACGGGCCCGCGCGCCCCCTCCGAGCTCCACCGCTCGCTAGGAGGGAAGGCCCATAGGACCGTCGTCGCGACGACGTGCGGACAATGCGGTTTAGAAGTGAAAAGCGGTTCTCACCTGCGCCGCACCTGTCGCCGTCGCCGCGTCCCCCGCCGCCCCCCGCGGGTAAGTGGCCCGTGACCGCCCGGCTCCGCCCGGCCCGGCGCTGTTTGCGTTGGCGGTATTCCATTATTCTTGATGATTCCGCCCAGGAGACCCCGCGGTGGCGGGGCATGGCCATCTCGCATGACGCATTGCTCGCGCGGCTCCGCTCCGCCGCTGCTTTTTGCGACGCCAGACGGACTATCGTCTTCCTGCCAGAGACTCTCTGTATGCTGCTGACTGTGAGGTCTGTGAACCCCGCCCCTTTTCTCCTCGAGTTCACATATTTTTCAAATAATGCGCCGTCTATCCTCCACGATCGGCTGCCGCTGCTGCGCGCTCCGCTCCGGTCGGGCTGGGTCGGATATGGAGACGGCGGAGACAGGTGTCTACTGAACCAGTCCGGACCGAAATTTCACCACCGGCAACTGGGCCTTGAGCGCCACACCACCTCGATGACATACCGGTATCGACGTTGCCCGTTCTTGGCAGCAGCAGCATCAGCGCCTCTACTCGGAGTGCGCGCCAAAGTGGACTCGCCACACTACAAGCTGGCTAACGTCAGAACAAAATATCAAGGATCAAATGCCACATTGTGCTCAGCTGTAGACCAACACTCCCGCCGACTAAATTGTTCCACATCGATTTGGTGCTAAAAGTTGCAATTGAAAGGTAGAAGTGGGTTATTTTGGGAAAACCACTCTGGCTTTCGGAGGAATGTTTCGGTGCGTGAGTTTGCTACTTTGATAGTTGTTTCTTTCGCGCCAAACAGTGAGCGCCCTCTAGCTTAACGGTTTTCTGCCTCAAAATAAACATCGCATATCAGCTGTGGCTGTGAACGGTGATTTAAAGATTTAGTTTTGGTGAGAAATAATGATATTTTTCCATTTTACGAGGTGAAACCCAACAAGCAATCTTGAAACAAATATAGGATTGTCAGGATAGTGTTGAGTTATTTTGTTACCGTAAAATGTTCTGCTGAACGCTGCTGTTCACAAACCTGTTGAATCTGTTCTTTTAATACAATCAGTTCAATCAAAGCATAGCAAAACATGATTATCAGTTGTATGTTTTTTGTTTGATCTAATGTACACCATCCATACTTAGTATCAATTTTCTATTAAATTAAAACAATAATTACTGTCTACCACTGTCTACTGTTTGTAGAACTGTAACGGGCTCCTAGCCTTATATATTCAGAATAAGTCCTGTTATAACACAACTGGTTTTTTTACAGAATTTATTTTATACACCATGCCACCTAAAAAAGCTAAAGGTTATGCCTTTGCAGCACCTCTTCCCAAAAATGAAGTTCTTACTGATACCTTAAAACAAAAATGGGTTCTTGGGCAATCTATTGGGAAAGGTGGCTTTGGTGAAATATATTCCGCAGCTGCTGGAGAAACTCCACCCAAAAAGGACTCTGATTTCTGCTACGTTGTTAAAATTGTGAGTAATTTTTAAACTATTGCCTGTTAATTATTTTGATTTTTCAAAGTGAAGTATCTTTGAAGTGTCTTTTGTTTTATGTAGGAACCAAGGGAGAATGGACCTCTATTTGTGGAGAAAACATTTTATCTACGAGTTGGCAAAGCTATTGATGGTATTTAATAGAATAATTTAAACAGTTTAAACATTTGTGGAATGACATCATAATAGAGTACTATCTAACACTGATTTCCATTTTTATAGTTAACTCATGGCGGGAGAAACATAAACTGAAAACATTTGGAATGCCAATCATGCATGGTAATGGGTCCCATGAAAGTGGTTCTAGCCAATACAGATTTCTTGTCATGGATCGTTATTCAAAAGATTTATTATCTGTTTGGGATTCATGTAACAAGACTTTCCCCCTTTCGACAGTTCTGCAAGTTTTGATTCAAGTTGTAAGTGGATTTTTTTGTTGTTCCTAAATCTGAAATGTGTTTCAACCTTTCACTAACCATGAACAATTTATTTTATTACAGCTTGATGTTTTGGAATACATTCACAGTAAAGGTTATGTGCATGCAGACATTAAACCAGCAAACCTCCTCATGGGTATGAAAAAAGGAACTGAAAATCAAGTATATGTAGTTGATTTTGGTCTTGCTGCCCGTTTCAATGGCACTAAGGATCCAAAGAAGGCACACAATGGTACCATTGAGTATGTTAGTAGAGATGCTCATGCAGGAGGTAATGTGTAATCTATTTGATTTACGAACCTAGTTACTTTTAGTTACAACCTCATTTAATGTTGTATTTTGTCTTTATGATTTTTTCTCAGGTCAAACTCGTAGGGGAGATATGGAAATCCTTGCTTACAACATGGTTCACTGGTTGTCATCCAAATTACCATGGGAAGGCATGATTAAAGACTGTGTTGCTGTGCACAAAGCCAAGGAAGCAGCAATGCAGAATGTACCTCAGTTTTTAAAAACATGTTTTGGGAAGAAACAAGTTCCTGGTATGGATTCTTATTTTCCATTATGTTATTTTGACTTTTCAGAAAAGTACTAATTGGTACGTTGACTGCCTAACATCTGTTTTGTTTTAATTGTTGTTTCAGATGTAGTTTCAAAATTTGTGAAGTATGTTTCTGAAATGGGATTTGAAGATGAACCTGATTATAGTAAAGTGAGGAAAATGTTTTTAGATGGATTAAAGTCTGAGGGTGTTAAGTTTGAATCTCCTTTGAGTTTCACCAAGCCACTGGAACAGCAAAATGGTGACACTAAAAAAGGTATAATAACATGTTCTGATATAGTTTTGCTAATTATTTAGGACTTTTTGTTACATGGGCTTGTTTAATTAATTTGTTTGACTTTGGTGTGTCCCTTCAGTTCGCACATCTCCTCGCAAGGTTACCAAGAGAGGGTCTACAAACACAAGATCTGGAACCAGTAATGAATCAGAAGTGGAAAATAGAGATTCCTCTTGCAGTGATATTTTTGAGGAATCAGATGTTGAACAGGAAGAAACTACAGTTAAGAAGAGACGAGTTGCTTCAAAACCCAAACCCAAACCCAAAGAAAAAGTTAGTTGGAGGGACTGTCCTACTGCCAAGGCATCTAGGGTAACAAGACCAGGTGAATTCACTCCTGCAAATCCTAAGCCAAAGAAAAAGAGCTAAGGAAATTAGGATGGTAAGCAAAGATTCAAAAATGTCTGCCCGTAAATTTAATTTGAATGCTATGATCTCAGAAATTTTTTGTCTGTAACAGTATTAAAGTATCATAGTGGATAATCATGGTAGTTTTTAAATTTGAGAAGAAATCTTTAGCTCTTCTCAAGTGGACCATCATTCCAGAAGTCAAATAAATAATTTTTTCATATAAAATATGTTATAATTCAAACAAGTTATGTACCAAATTAACATAAATCACAGAACAAAATTAAAGCAAGATTGGAACACAAGATTTGCTAATTAATGGGTACCTTATTAGACTACATCACAATTCAAGAAATTTGTTGAAAAAATCTATGATATCTAAAATTGTACCTTATTCTTAAAAGTCACATGGGTCCGACTAGGAACGGTCATCTTTACATCACCTTGTTACATCACTTTTGATGGGGTGTAACAGCTTGTTTTAAGTTAAAATTCAAACCATCAAGGTACTCTGATGCTTCATCACGCAATGATGCAGCTTTCTGAATCAGTAATAGCTAGAACAGAAAATAACAAATATATATGTAACTCAATTTAAATTTGACCAACCACTTAAGTTTCAAACAACACTTTACCTTAGCTGCTGCTACAATTTGATAAGCTGCTTTCTTCGGCATGTGATCTAACTCTCGTACTAAACGGGTTGGTTCAGCAGAAGCTACATCTCGAAGGCTGCGGTATCCGGCATTGTAAAGCTGCCGAGCACGCCCCTGGTGAGAATAATTTTTCAAATGAAATTACAGAATGTATGTAGAAAATTTTAAAGTTATGCCTTATAAATATAATATTACAATATATTTGTCTCACAATTTTCACAGCGGGCAGTTCCATAAGAGGTATAAGTTCAATTGAGCAGCAGTGAGACAATCGCTGTACCATGACTTCTAACAGAAGTTTAAAACACCAAAACTCCTCCAGTACCTAACAAGAGAAAGAGAGTTTTCTTTTACAAGTCAGTCCCATGGCTAAAACAAACACTCCAAAACAGCACTTGGCTGACCTCACAGTAACGTAGAACACATGAAGCAAAACCTGAAGCAGCTTGAAGTAAGGTGAACACTTGTCCTCTAGATACTTGAAACTTATTAGATACATCCCAAATTGACCTCTGATGCCATAAGTCATAGAGCATAAGAGTAAGATAAAATCTGTCAACCACTACTTGAGGTATTGCCTGAAATTAAAACGATGAGTGTTCTGAGAAGGGGATTTTAATTTTTCCATAAGTAAGTAAAGCAATTACAAAGCGGATACCTTGATTGGACGCCTATTCATAATGGCTACAGCAATAGCTTCTGTAATGCCTAATGTATTAGCTACCTTCAATTCCTCAGAGCCAAGACTCATGTACTAGAACCATAACAAAATACTTATTTAAAATAAAATAAAAAAAGATTTTAAAAAATAACTTTAGTTTAAACAATAATACTTACCACATTAAAATACACTTGGTTCGCATATTTAATGGTCTCAATCATGCTATAAGGTGTGACAGCAAACAAAAGATGAAGGTGATTTACCAGGACCAATTTTTCTTGGGCTAAATGTAGATCATCATATAGACGATGAGCAGTAGCCATGTCAAAGGACCCTAAAAGACAGACAGATTTAATTTTAAGATGAAAAAAGTAGGAAAATTGTAATGAATCTCTCTAGAAATGACATACCTTGAACAGCAGCTTCACCTATTTTGCTCAAGTTGAGAGGAGTTGACAGGCCAATATTTATAGACACATTGGAACATTGTGCTTTAGACCGATTTTGAATTACAGCAGTTATAATGTCAGCATCATTCTCCATACAAGATGTCTCTTTCAAAACCTTAAAACCACCTTCAGACACCAAAGCCTGCAAAAAATAGAACAAGAAAACAATTCAAATTGTACTCAGTTTGCTTATTGAGTTGGGCTTGGCTTTTTTTGGTGGTCTACCTGAATACATTCATCAGCTAGCTTCAAGACATCAATACCCAATCTCTCTGCTTGTACCCATAGTAATGTATGTTTTAAAAAGGCATGTATATCAGACCGACATGAAGCTAATTTGAGACTAACTGAGTGCAATACCAGTGCTTTCAGGCCAGCCCCTACATCAGCGCCCAGGTAACTCATTGTCTCAGTCATACTGGACGTCAATAGCTCCAAAACCTATTAACATTAAAAAATTATTATTATAACTAACAATAGTTTTGTAGAACCTGAGCCAAAATCCAAACTAGTTAACTGTACAAATATTACCTTAGGTGTGTCTTTCCAATTGCACATTAGTATGCTCTCTCCTATGCCACCAAACCCAGCTCGGCCTGCTCTTCCCACCATTTGCTTGTATCTACTGAGATCAATAAATTCTATGCCAATGTAAGGAGATCTTAAAATGACCTAACAAAACAGTAGAAATTTCAGTTTAAAAAACAATAAGTACAAAAATTAGCCTTATGCTAATAAAAGGAAATTTGGAAAAGAAAAAAAAGGAAGGGGAACCGGAAACCACTCCATACTTACTCTTCTAGCTGGTAAATTTACACCAGCCGCAAGTGTGGATGTACAGCAAATGAGACACAATGTCTGGGCTAAGTAGGCTTCCTCAAGAAGGCGGCGTTCAGCTGCTGTCAATCCTATCGGACTAAAATCTTTACACAACTTCTTCACTTTTACAGGTAAAAACACAATTTATAGTTTCAAAACGGTACCTGAGTGATGATATGCAACTCCATAGGGCAAAGTTTTAAAGAGAATAGGACAGATTTGGCCATTGCCCTCGGCAACAAGTGCTTTGTAAAGGGCTCTTTTCTCTTCAACCCTGACAGTCTTCAAATTCCTGTGTAAAGAAGTATATTTAAATGATAAAAATGTACTACACATTACTTTTAAACAACAAATATAAACCAAACTTACTTTGACATGTTTTGACAGATCAATAATGCTACATTTTCACAATTTTTACGAGAGGGACAGAACACCAGACAGGACTCATCTGGCACAACTTCAGACACAAGTGCTCCTATTAGATCTGGATCGTTTTGAAGCTGCTCCTCAGTATACTTAATAGAAACAAAAAGTATTTAAGAGAAGACATTGTGCTGAAAAGCCTTTCTTATGGTAGGAAAATAATTTTAAAATATGACAGACATCACAGATATGCTTACATTGGACTCTAAAGTACGTTCTTCAAGCAATGGTGATTCATCAGTTCCTATCAAATTGCGCTGAATACTATAAATAGTTTGTCCACATTTTAGATATTCTTTTAATTCAACTGGTCTAAAATCACCAGTGTAAGTCTTCGCATCAAGAAATTTGGCAATTTCATTTAGATTGCCAATTGTAGCACTCATCCCAACTATTTGGATATCACCTGGAAAGAAAATTTTGATAGTTTTTATTAAGTTATTTGTTTTACTAGCTGAGCAGCTGAGGATGTATGCAGAAGTATAGACCTTGAGAAAAACGCAAATTGGTGAGAAGTGATTCCAAAGTAGCTCCACGACGTCCTTCTCCAAGAAGATGTAATTCGTCTATTATGACTAATCCTATTTCATGTAACCTATTTTCATTTATTAGGCAATGGACAAGACCAAGAGCTTTCTCAATAGTAGCAATGTAAACGGCATTATTAGATCTGCGCTTCTTTGGAGGGTAGGTCCCTTTGCCCCCTGCATATTCTTCAACAAAGAAATCAAGCTCAACTGCTAGTTGAGATATAGATCGCACCTTCAAAAGCAAAATTTTGGTGTTTCATTTCGAATAGTGGTATACGTTTTTAAAAATAACTTCTTGCTTAAGTAATATGTAGTTACACATTTCTGGCTTACCTTTTCTTGCACAATTGAGACATATGGAAGAACAAATAGAGTATTTTTCTTGTTGATTAAAATTTCTTTCAGCAATAAAATTTCAGCAACTAATGTTTTACCACCACTGGTAGGTAGTGCGTAAACAAGATTATGCCTCTTTTGAACTTCTGGCATTAAAAGACATTCTTTTTGCCAATCTGAACAGAAAGGGTAACTGTAACATTGATAATAGTAATATAAAAATAGGACTGGAAATTTCACAAAATTTTTGTCAGACGTACCATAGAGTTCTTTGATTCCTCTGAACTTTTCTATCAGTTGCTTAACAATTAAAGGGAGTCCAAAGAAATTACAATTGTCTGACACACTTGGTACAGAATCATGAACTCTATTTCTGATAGGTGTAGTATGATTATTATTATTCATTAATTGCTGTTGAAGCTTTTGTGAAAATGAAGGAGAATGGCCCAGTGCAATTGATTTGTCTCCAAGCCTCATGGACTCATCCCAGTTAATATCGGCCAGTCCTTGCATACTCACTTCAACTTTTGTGGCATTGAGCGGTAGGTGCGGACTTGTTAATTTACTAACACCCATGATTTTGGGAGATGGCTTTAACACTCTGGGGCAACTTTTTGGGGTGGCAGGAGATTTAACATACACTGAATATTCCCATGGCTTTTCATCTTCATCGTCAATTGATGCTCCTTCACAACCACTGTCAGATACATTTTTTTGTGGCTTTGGAGACTCGTCAAAAAGGTCCTGTTCATTTCCCTCAGGTGAGTTTTCGTCAAAAGGAACAGCAACAGCAAGGAGTTCACAATCTTGGAGACTGTCATCTGGTATTTGCTCTTGAGGTATCAAACATCTTTGAGTAACTGTCCCAGATTTAGTAATGGGACTTGAGTGAGCCGACACATCTTTAGGAATGAGAATGGGAGACAATCCTGGCACAATAACAGTCTTCTCATGAGGCTTCTGTGATGCTTCTTCTTCAATTGCTGCGATCTGATCCAAGCATTCACTAAAAGTGTCGTTCACAGAGAGGAAATTACTTTTGTGAAGCACTGTTCTGTTTGTCAAAGACGTGGAAGGTGAACCATCCTGATTGAGTTTACGTTTCAAACTAAGGCGTCCCTTACCGAACGAACGATTTCTCAACATTGTGCCTGAAATAAAGTTGAACAATTGTTTTTTCAGTTTAAGAAATTTTGACAATACTATTAATTAAACATTGACACATTTTCCACACCACACCAATGTTTAGGTATTCTCCTAACCCATTGAGCCAGGTAGGCCTTGTGAGCTCTTGTTGCTCCAACGATCAAACTTACTCTTCAGTATCAAGTTCAAAGGAACAAGATAAGAGATGACGAGTTTCGATCGCCGAAGACTTAGGAGTCAAAAGTCCTTTACCACGGAGGGAGGAAGTGAAGTTGAATAATAATTCGGCGTTGATGTACCATCTCTAAGCATTTTTGCATTTGACTGATTTGTCAAACCCGCGGGCGCCACATTTGAACTGTTTTGTTTTGATTTTAGTTGGTGGATGGCAAATTTCTCGTTCAGGAAATATCTTAGAGCTAGCGTAACAGTAAATTTGTCATCGTGCAGTGTAGAAGAGCAGACAGGTGGTAAACACTAGCAGAAGCAGAAGCTAGCCGATGACTGGAGTTGTCTCACATTGTGCACCATATTTTGTTCAAGGAAACGCCGAGTAATCTTTCTGCAATGTCACTAGTTGTCGGATGGTTGTTTGAGAGCATTGTACTTCGCGCTTATGATGCTATTCGTAACTTTGTGTCAAATGAGAGGTAAGATATCCATGGCCATCTAGGCTGCTAAATGATTGTGTGAGCCTGCAATGCTTTTGTGTTGGGAATCTTTGTCATAACTACATTTCTGTTTGTGCCAACATCACGTCCTGCAGTTAAGATTGGAGTTTAATAACTAACCATCTCTGTCATCGAGGATAATTTGTATTGAGTGAAAACGGAGGTTATGTCGTAGCTTCATTATATTTGATAGATTTCATATTCTGCCATTTAACACAGGACATTTGAGGGTGAGTTTCTTGAATTTTGTCTGTAGTTAGCTCGATCACCATGGCTGTTGTTGACTTGGCTCTGCGATGAACTGAATTAATTCAAGCACTAAGTAAGAAGCACATTAGGTGGAAATCATATTCTCAATTGCACCATAATAAATAATATTTACACAAAATGTTTTGGGCATTGATTGTAGCACTGTTGAAATAGATCATCCCATTTATTAGTACAGCTTTCCTTCTATTTCAGTAACATGAACAATCTTCCAAGTGCTCAACTGGGCACCGCTTCCGGTTGGAAGCAGACCTATGCAGAACTCAGCGCCTGCAATGATAAAGCGGACAAACTTCTGGATGAGGCAGTCACCTTAGAAGGTCAGAATGAGCATAGTTCGGTAAGTGTCAATAAGTGCTTGTTATATGCTTCTACTGGACCAATGTTCTCTGTTTTCCTTAGTATTATCACATTGTCGAAATTAATTTTGATTGATTTTCATTTTTCTTTAGGCCCTTGCTAAGTATTCCGAATGTTTGACTGTCATTGAGCATGCTCTCTCCTTACCTATTGTGTGCCCACCTGATCCCAACCTTTCTTGGGAACGTGGTTGTATCATTGTGCAAAAACTTAAGAAGGACAAGTAAGTAAAATTTTAAAGTACAGCATCATTTTGCTCTCTTCATAATTTCCAATTCTAACTTAATTCATTTATATAGGAATGAGATCAAGAGTAAGGTGACTTTTCTACAAGGGAACGACAAGGACCAGGCAGGTTCTTCATCAAGTCCAGCACAACCTCCAAGCTATGATGAAGCCATGGGCATATCCAAGTCAGGCGAGGCTGGTGTGGTTCAAGGTGTTGAGCCAGCCCTTCGGACATATCGAGAACTTGGCGAGGCTCTAAACACTTTAAAGGTCTGTTGATTGTTAGTTATAATTATTCTTGATTTCCTTTTCTCTTGTTTTGTGACATCCATTGGGTAAATTGTCCTGTGTTGCAGCACATAAATGTAAAAAATAATAAAAATGCTGCGTTCTTATTTTGAGTAAAAATCATCTTGTCAATATCTTTTTCAGCAAGCATACAGAGCCATTATAGGAAGTTTTATTGCAAGTGCAGGCCAGAATAGAATCCAGGTAGCTTTAAAAAAACTGCCCCATGGTAAATTATTTAGTGAAGATCTTTGACTTTCCTTGGTATTTTTGTATTATGAACAATTCATGACTAATGTGGTGGTGGCCTCTTAGGATTAAAACTGTATTACTTAGCTCTGTTGTATTCGGTTTCATAAATCACTAAAGAACAGCTTCTCTATAATTGCCCTAGTGACCCAAAATTAAGTTACTTGGCCTAATCTTTGCACTTGTAGTTTTTGTCTATCTGTCTAAACTTTGTGCTTGTATGTATCTTTTTCTGGAGCGATCTGGTTTTGTAGGGCTGTACTAGTTTTTATTCAGTACAACTTGAGCCAGATTTCTCAAAGTTTTTAATTTGTTTGTGCAGGTGAATGAAGCTTCTGGAGATGCAGAAGTTATATTTGCTTATGACAATGTTCGTCTGTACTTTATTTCTCCTGATGGTTCTGTCTCATCATCTTCTGAACCAGAAAGGATGCAAATTATTCAATTTACTGGTAAATATAATCTTGGGGTTAGATTTGATAAGTGGATCCTAATTTGTTAACTGCATGTATATTTCTTGTTCTAGAGGACAATGTGGAAAACCGCCCCCCTGCTTACCTTCAAGTTGGTACTTGGATTTATCCATTAGTACCGGGAGTATCACCTTGCTTTCGCACAAGCTATCGAGCATTCATTCTTCCTGACATTCACTCTGACATTGAAGGTAGATGAAATTACTTTGAAAAGAATATCAGTCAAATAAGTGATAGCTTACTTAGAGTTGATGTTTATTTCATGCAGGATCGGCAGTTGGACTGATTCTTCCTGAAGATGCTGATGAGTCAGTCTTTGAGCTTTTAGAAATCATTCTTGATGGGATCATTCTTCAACTTGAACCAGAGGAGAAAGGTCTTCTTCGATCCCGTCGAGAAGTTGCAATGGCTCACTCAGTTGTCAGGGGTAAGAAGAACCAATTACTTCTGTTTCTTTTCATGCTATGCCCTTCCAGCTTTTTATTTATACTTTTGATTTAGGTGCCCGTTGGGTGAGTAGCAGACTTATCAGTGGTGCAGAACGGGCTGGTGATCTCATGAACAGAAGCACTCCCAAAATTCTTCAGCATATTGAGCGAGAACAGCCTAAAGAATTCAGTCCTAATGTCGCAAAAAGTTTTGAAGTTGCCAAGAGTGTTTCAGGCAAAGCTGTTCAAGTGACCGGCTATGTTGGTTAGTGAATTTTCCAAAAAGATAAAACTTACTATTTGTGTATTTAATCTACTAACTGTTTAATCTTAACACTGCTCTACTTAAATTAATTAATTAATATTTGGTAAAAGTTCAATGTACTGTACATTCCCCATGTTTCAGCTGGCAAGGTTGGTCTAGCAACATCAGCACTAGGACGCTTTCTTGCTCCTCACATACAAAAGCAAGGGACACGTCTTCTCACTAACACATTTAAAATGGATGAAGAAGCGGCCAAGAGTAAAATGGATAATGTTTTAGAAGTCACTGCTGGAGCAGTTGAAGCTTTTGGCACAGTGTATGGAGCACTTGATCACTCTGCTCACATTCTAGCTGGAAGTCTAGCTAGTAATACTGTAACATTGGTAAAACACAAGTAAGCAGAAACAACATTTTCTTTTATTTCTTAGGATCTGAAATTTTTTGGTTTGGTTATCAAATTTGATTTTTTTATTAATAGGTATGGAGCTCAGGCTGGACAAGTAGCAGGAAACACCTTTGATACAGTTGGTAATGTGTTTGTTGCTAGTCATGCCATCAAACGATTAAATCCCAAGTATATTGCAAAAACAGCAGTGAAGGAAGCAGGTAAAGCTGTCATTGATGATCAACGGAAACATCTTTTAGATGATTCAAATACTGCCCTGATTGCAAAGGAGAGCATGCATCTTGGAAAGTCAGATTGAAATTTGTGTTCCTTTTTGTTGATGAATGATCTCTCAACTATTCAATTGGTAATTATGTCATGTGGGAATTTGAAAACTGAGTCATTAATCTATTGTGTCATTACTACTTTTGGAGCCATGACCTATGTATATTAAATTACAATCTAATCTTATCTACAAAATTGAAGTGTGCTTTGAATAGGCCAAAGGTTAGCTTTTGCTGTGTGTTTTAAATATTACAGCTCGTCATTTATTTTAAGAACACATGCAAAAGATCAATGAGATTGAGGCAAATGCTATTTAATTGAATCAAACAAATTATATTTGTATATTTCATCCCCAGATTATTTTTTTGATATTTTTTTTTTTTTTGTGATTTCCTTTCTATTCATCACTAGTCTTTTAGTTTTAATTTAAATTCCTAAGTTGCAAAACTATGATATTGATTCTCCATCTAGCTATGTCCTACTAATATGAGAGTTTTAAGTCTGAAGGTTTTGATTTAGATTGCCTTCTGTAATTTTCTTCTTTTTTAAATTTTTTTTTCTTCTTTCAATCTTTAAGCCACCTATCACTAAGCTTAGATGGGGAGTGACATGTAGTAATCCATCTATCTACTCACTCTGCATAAACTTTATTTTGCTCACATTTTCGTTCCATATCCTTCAATGACATTGAATCAATCCTTTGTGCTTTTTTCTCTTCGTTCTATTACTCATATAGTTTTCTAGAAATTTGTTGGTATGTTGGAAGAGCATTTTATTCATGTTGAAAATGCCTATCATTTTCCCCTTTACATTTATTTTGTATCTATTTGTTTTCATTTAATAAAATTTATCAAGACCGTTGAATTTTCCTTTTTTTTCTACACATATTTTGATTTCATGTTAAGGCCTATAAAAGAATGTTATCACACGCAGACACAAACGATCGCGCATCTTTGAGTCTCCTGTCTCTTTTCTCTGCTTCTCCTGCTACTGCTACACCTTTCGTCCCCCCCCCCTTCCCCCGTTTTCCCTTTCCAACTCTCTTCTCTCTGTGTCCACCCCCCTATCCTCCTCGTCGTTATCCCCACTGTGCGGAGCTGGCCCAAGGATGCTGGGGGCGAGAGGAGAGGAGGGGTAGTGCGAGACGTCTCCGTCTCTGTGGGTCGTCGCGTATCCTCGGGCAGGGGAAAGAGGTAAGGAGGGTGGGGGCGCCCATGACGTCGCGTCTCGCGTCCCGCAGAGCGGCGGCGTGTGGCATCGGCGACGGCGTCGGGGGGCCTCGCGGGGCGCGGGGTGGCCCGAGCCCGAGCATGCAGGACGCTAGCGCCGGCAGGTCGCTGGCACGCCCTCGGCACGCGGGCGGGGCGCCGGGGG